TTTGTGGTATTTAGTAAATCCTCATGGTCGATGTAAATGCAAAAAATAAGAATTAATTGAAGAGACGTGCACTTAATTACATATTAATCTTTTAGAAAAACTTATAGGACCACATTAAAAGATAACCTCTGTTGTATTTAAACTAATTCCTAAAAAGAACCACTTCTTGAAACACACCTGTCCAAAGGCAGGTTACGCTAATAGTCAGTAATATATATATATATTTTTACCAGCGCCGCGATCGATTTGATCGATTTGCGTATGTTTCACATCATTTTTTTCAATATTCTTATCCTTGCAGCGAAAATTTAGCATTCAGATTGCATTCGCATTATCCTCAGGGAATTTGTAAGATGAAAGTTTGCTTGGCATAAAATGATTTTAGAACGAAAAAATGAACGAGTATATTTTAAAGTTAAAAAAAGAAAGAAAGAAAAAAAAAATGTTTAGAAGCTAGCTGCTCAAAGCGAGAATCGAACCCGAGAACATCAGTTCAACGCCGCTATTTAATTATGATCTTGCGTGCAAAATATGTAAAGCAATTACAAATATCTACAGGAAAAATAAGAATAGTAAATTTCAGTAAAAAAAAAGTAGGAAAGAAAAAAGAATCGCTTAGAAGTGATCGAGTAAATCTAACCCGTGATCCTAAGTTCGACGCTATTCGAGTACGATAGTTAGTCTCCTCGCAGCCGTTCTTAGTGACGTGCTCCCTGTCCCCCGCCCCACAAACGGCTGCTTCAATCCGAGCTTTAATCGTTTCTCCAATCACAGTTCGGCTTTCATTTCCTTGCATCAATTCCCGCCAAAATTATTGACCAATAGGAACTCGCGTATTATAAGTGCGATCATACTAAACATGGCGGGTGACATCGCGGATAGTTTAGTGTTTGCTGCTCAAAAATTCAAGATACCGTGCTTAAATTTCCCCCAGAAGCTTCCCATTACAAAACTTATAGATGAAAATTGAGATGTGTTTGTTAATTTACCTACTGGTTTCGGTAAATCTTTGATCGATTTTTCAAGCTTTACTTTAAGTTCTCGATGATTCAACGAAACGTCCAGGACACTTCGCAGTTCTTGGTGTTGACATGTGGCACTCTGACTTCCGTCATATTCCCTTGTAACTATTGCTCGTGATCGTTTCTCTTGCTGAGCAACAGACTGATCAAGCTCTTTCCGTGTTTCTTCTAGTTTCTTTGAAGCGCGATCGTATTATTCAAGCTTTGAAAACATTGTCTACAGACAAACAAATCTGCATCGGCAAAATAACGAGAATAAGTTAAAAAATGTACAGACTCTGCTTATAATTAACAGACGTTTAAGAACCTGTACATATACATCATAAGCGTTATAATCAATCTCATGTCGAGGAAAATTATGGCTTCATTTGACCTCTCATCATCTCCTTCACTGAAATCTAGTTGTGAGGAATTACAACAGCTTTGTCCTCTACAGTTAGCACACGCAGCGGAACATTCGAGCCCTTGTTTTCTGCATGAACCTCTTTTGGGTGCTGCAGTCTGTCTTGCATCCACACCTTACCATCTCTAGCAAAGACGCATGACCTGCTGGAAGGCTTGTTCTCACAGGTAACAATCTGTCATCTTCTAGCTTCCAACCCCAGTTTTCAGCAGGAAGCGCCACCCCTTTCCATCCCTGAACTTGATGATATACCCTCAGGCTGTGATAACTGGCGGCTGCTGATGTCGGTGGGAGGCATTCAGGTTGCACAAAAGAGTTGCCTGTAGAGATCTTTTGACAAAATTTCGCATAACGCAGTGAATCCAAAGTATCATGGGACTGACCTTTGTACAGGAGAACAAGAGATTTTTCGCCAGCTGCGATAATTTCATCTTTTGAAGCTTCTGCTTTATCGAAGATCCCTGCTTGATTACCGAAGCGGTCGTCGCTTGCCAACTTTCTAAGGGCTTGCCCTTTCACAAGGCCATACAACGCAGATGTCGTATCGCACCCTAAAATGGTATGTACAAACAGAAAGTTTCTACAGGTTTCAGGACCAAGTGCACACGCCGTTTCTTTTATGTCTTTTATGATGCGCACAGTCCTTGGTGGTTGGGCCGCTTTCATAGCCATCGAAGACGATTGTGGCCTGACTGTATCTTCGAGTCACGTACTGAACATAGAGTGAAACAATTTCACTATAGGTGGCATTGCGTGGCCAGGGAACGCGATGGAAAAGTGCGCCACCATCAAGGAAATAACTGACTTTTCCAGACGGCTCTACTGATTCACCATTTTTTGTCTGTGACCAGATTGCATCAGCCAAAACGGGCTTATTCGCTTTCCTAAGAAGAAGCGAGGAATCAAATAGAGCTGGAGGGAAGCTGCACATCTCAAATTTGAAAAAGGATTGAGGGTTTTCATACTTCCCACCAGTTGCCACAAAGCTCAACCTTTGAAATAGAAGCTTCGGGTCCACTTGAATGGTTCCATCGCTACATTTGACGTCCGTTTTGGACGACAATGTTACTACYTGCGATTTTTTGGAAAACGTATATTCATATGCATTCTAGTCTACCATAGATGACAGGATTTTCTCTCCAACTTCTTTACGCCTTGAATACTCACAAAAAAGGAAAACATTTTGTTACATTGTCGTAAACATTTTGGCGCCAAATTTTCAAATCGATATAATTCAAAGGCCAAATAGCTTGATGTACGAGCATAAAAAGCCATTCAAATTAAGCTAGATTTTAACCACAGTTAGCTTACATCTCTACTTGATGATAAAAGGAAGATTGTAAGAATAAATGGAATAAAAAACATATAAAACTTTGGGAAAACTAGAGCACTTACAGACGAGGTAACTACGTTGACAACTCCCAGGCGTTCCTCGAGACACAGGGACTCCAAAACGTTAGTTTTTATCTCAAATGGATTAAAAAAGATTTGCAAATGCAAAATTAATACAATAACAATTTAGAAACAATTTATTTTAATGTTTATGAATGTTATTTACAATTTAAAGTTCAAAACTTTGCACAAAAATGAAATGTGTTGAATTTTACAAGATGTGGGTACCCTGTGGTGATCGTTGTTGTATTTTAAGAAGTTTGACACTTAATTTCACAATGTTCCACTACACGAATTTTTGCGAATTTTTAGTATGTTTGCTAGCTGGCATTTATCTTTGATTCTGAAGTGAAAAACATTCTTTTACAATTTGTTTGAACTCGACCCAAAAAATTTCACAGGATGACTGGACGTGAAATCGATAAGCTCTCTAAGCCGGCAAATGGATTAGACTCTAGCAAACCCGAACCTCCCAGACGGTATCAAACTCAAAAATCACGAACAACAATTTCAACGTTTTCTCAATTTACAAGAACGACAAAAAAAATTGTCCCAACGGTAAAAATTCAATCTAACACGCCTCTACCACAGTAAACCCAAACACCACAAGAAGCACCACAAGAACCCCAAAATCTAGCAGTGAGCGATGCTGAGATTTTAAGAACAGTTCCCAAGAAATTTAAAAGTCAAGCTGAGGGTTTTTTTTTTTTTTTTTTTTTTTTTTTTTTTTTTTTTTTTTTTTTTATTACGGTAATCATTTTATTTCATGAATTAAATTAAATTACATGATTTGCAAATAATTCTGCTATTTACAATTAAGGAGAAACATACTAGAAGTATATTTCTCTAGAATTTTTTTTTTTTAGACTGGGCTCGAATGACTACCGAGTAAGACGCTCGAATTTGAGCTCCGAGAGAAAACTCATATAACCCTAACATTTTTTAAATGAAATCATCCAAGAATCACTCCAAACGAAAGAAGAAAACTAACTCAAGCTCTTCTAGCATCTCAATAACCTCTCCGCTTGAAAAGAAAGCTAAGGAAAAGGAGTGCTCTGACGACGAGGTATTCCAAGCCCTCGATATGGCCGGCCATGTTGCTGCTAAGTTGGACGATATAACATCAAAGTTAGACAGACTGAAGTCAATAGAAGAAACTATACACAACGTTGCTGGATCAATTAAAGCTCTCGAGCAAAAAATAGAGAAAGTTGAAGAGAATGTCAAAGAAATAAAACAGGAGCAGCAGGTTATGGACAAAAGTCTTGAAACGATGAACAACGAAATTCAACAGCTCAAAAACGACAGGAAAAGAGACGAATTTGAATATTATGGATTCCAGGAAGAAACAAAGTCTGAGCTGAACAA